TTGGGAGTAAATTTAAAGCCTTGAAATCCGCCAGTGTGAATGTTTCAATTGTATAAACTGTTAACCGTTGCTCAGATGATTTAAAAAGACATAAATATACAAAATAAAGATTTCCTTAAATTATTCTTGAGTGAACATTTTCATAAAGCATTTCTCATTTTATTCACTAGCAACCCCGATCAACAATGTTGACACCCTTCATTCTTCTCTCTCACTCTCACACAAGCGCGCACGAACACACACACACACACACACACACACACACACACACACACACACACACACACACACACACACACACACACACACACTATCAACCAATCTTATGTAATGGAAACTGAGTAAATTTCATTTCAGGTATGCCTCAATTTTGAGCCATCTGTAATCGTGTGATGGTAGGCACAAAGCAAGGAAAAAAAAACATACACACACATACTAACACACACACACACACACACACACACACACACACACACACAGTTTTTATGACTTTGAATGTGATGTCACAGGAAAGTGAATGTGGTCTGGGCTTATTTCTTCCTTGGCTAATATAATTTTTCCACCGGTGCAGAGTCCCCTCCAGTGCAAAGTAACTCGCTGGTGGCATGCAGCAAACATACACAGATCCCTTGTCCAGACTGGAGTGAGCCCTACCAGGATCACAGCTCCCCAGTTGTTTACATCTGAGACCAGAAACTATCCATTCCCGTGAGCAAGGTGCTCAATGCCTTTTTCCACCAGCGGTCAAAGTGATATTGGTTTCTTGTATTAGAGTAAGGAGGGAGATGAAAGCAGCTAAGGGTCTGTCATACTCTCATTGCTAGGGCCTATGAAATCAGGTGTCAGAGCAGCTGAACTTAAACTGTCACAAAAGTCCATGGAGTGTCTGGAGATGTGGAGAAAAGGGTTAAATCTTAAAACCTGATATATTTGCTAATGTGTTAACCATGCAACGGGAGTGCTACACTGGATTTGGTGTGGGAAGGGGACAGTAAAAATTAAACTGCTGAGAGAAAAGGAAGTGTGTGGTTTTGTGTGTGTGTGTGTGCCGTGTGTGTGTGTGTTGTGTGTGTGTGTGTGTGTGTGTGTGTGTGTGTGTGTGTGTGTGTGTGTGTGTGTGTGTGTTGTGTGCGTTGTGTGTGTGTGTTTTTAAAAATAACTTGCGTCAAAGTGATGTGAGTGCTTGCAAGAGAAACTGACAATAAAAAAAGAAACTCCTTTTTATGAACAAGGGAAGGGGACAATATCTGAAAGAAGACAAATGAGAGAGAACAGAAGAGAACACGTAACATACAGCCGCGAGAAGGAGAAATGTTGGCATATAGCAACATTTATATTATGAATTTTGACTTTAAACTTTCTTGTTGTTGTGTGTGTCTGAAAAGGTAGATCTTTGTCATTTATACAATATTAGTATGTTTTTCAATTATATTCCCCCGGCACTATTATCACTTGTAAGTCAGTCGTTTTCAGAATTCAAACTAGCAGACCTCTGACTCATTGACCTGTTGAACAGAAACATTTAGCTTTGCAAGCGTTCCACCACTTTCTGTTAATTATCAACAAAAATATAAATTTTTTTCACCCAGCCATACTCTTCCTTTTATCAAATTTAGTGTTATTAATACCTATGGCCAATTTAGAATTGACAATAACCTAGCCTAATCTTGTACCCGGAGAGAACCCGGAATACCAACAGTAGGAACATGCAAACTCCACCAGCCAGGTGTTGGATTCAAACCCAGACCGCACCGCCTTTATTTTTTCATTATTTTCCTAATTTTCACATGGAGTATTCAAATATGAGTCACTCAATAAAAAACCCTTTGAAATGATAGAAATACTATGTAATAGAGACCGGATCTTGTTTAAAGTCCACAGTGATGGCTTAACAGTCACAACCAGTAGGATTACTAGTTATCTCCATTCTTGCCTCCATATGGGCACAGTGAGATGTTGGCAAACAGAAACACTGGGGAGTCTGCTGGCTTTTTGCTGGGCTGTTACACATGCTAGTGGCAAGGAGACCTATGGGGAGGTTGCCAGTATGACAGAGGTGCAGTTAGGCTGGGAGGCACTATTGTGGCAAATTAACACCAGCCACCAGCCAAATTTCTGGAATGTTTAGTGTTACTTGTGAGTTTGTTTACCTTCTTCCTATTTTAGGTATCTAGTCATCATCTAGATGGTGTTCTCGTCTAGAATTCACCTCTGTCTTTTAAACAAGTTAATAAGGGAGCTCATTTTGGAATTGAAGCATTTGTGGCCTGCAGACATGAAAGGTTCCCTAAAAGAGAGTGCCAGTGAGCTTAAGAGTACTTGGAGTACCCGGAAAGTCCTGGGATAAAGTCAGCTAAGGCATTTTCATTGGGTGTTAAGAGTTTCTCAGACACTCTGGTGGTCAGCTAGTAGGTCTGGTTTATGGAGTGCAAACTTTCAGTTGTGCATGCATCTTTTTTTTAATCTTCTTGCCTTTCAGCTTCTTAGCTCTTATGTGACCACTCACAGCTCCTCTGTTGCATTATAAAGGATCTAAATCATATTGCTCTATGTGCAGCAACAATCTTCCTATTGTATTATTCTATGTTGAATGAGTGACATGCCCTTATGTGATAGACTAGACAGATGCTTGTTGGTGTTAAGATACAGTCCTGGCTCGAGGTGTTAGTGAGCTGCCCCAGGCTGCCCTCCAGCCAGCCTTCGCTTGGAACACTATCATCACTCTAGCTCTCCACTAACCAAAATATCACCTCAGCTTGGCTGCATGTTTGTTTATCTTCCCCACCTCTGCACAGGCCCGGAAATGTTTATGCCTAACTTTAGTAAAATAGACAGGGTTGAATATGGGGTCTGGGGACCAATGAAAAGAGTACCAAGGAACGTCTTGTCCTCTCATTCACCTTGTAATGTGGCCTGGGTCAGGGGGACATCTGTGGTCAGCGTCAGGTTGAGAGAGGTGTAGACTGAGGACAGCTACTGTCATCGAAGGGTAAATACAAGAAAAGAGGGGGCTGATTAGTCCTAACACAGACCCAGAGATAAAGGACTGTGATCTGGCTGAGTCTGACTGAGGTTGGGCTTGACCAGTAAACAACCAGCAGGGTGTCTAAATGGCCCGGGGATCAGCCTGGGGCTAAACCTGAAGGCCTCTCTCAGCACTGGGTCTTCTAAACACTAGATCATACATGCACAAAGTTATCCATGCAAACAGACATTCACCTATTTTTGTGGGGAAGAGGCTTGCTAACACAGATTTAAATTATAAGAGGGACACCTCTACTCACAAAAATCTACACTGTACTCACAAAAATTTGTAGAGAACAAATAGAAGCTTTCGATACACACTCATAAATATATACACACCCCAACAAAAGCAGAGGTTATTTAGGTAGTGTTTAGTGGAATTATTGAGTTGGGTGAAAAAAACAAAGATTCACTTGAGTAAAGTGTATGCAACATAATTTAGCATTTTGAAAATAATGTGGCTACGATAGGCTGGACTTGTCCAGGGTGTACCCTGCCTGTGGCCCTATGAAAGCTCCAACCCCTGGCAGTTGGAAGCAGAAAAGGATGGATGGATGTGCAGTCTTTCCCTGTTATTCATTTTGATCCAAAGTCAGCTTTGGGAAGAGTTGAAGCAAGCTTAGAAGCACCTTAGAGCAAGTTTCAGATCAACTGTGAATCACTTCTCTTCAGCGTTGTGCTACACGGTCAGCATGGCAATGTGATGTCTACCAGCTGAGATGGTGATACAGTCTGAATACACTTTCTGGCACTTTCTTAGCCTGTCACTCATCCCAGGAGGACAGGGTTTGATCCAAACTGAAAGGCACAGTTTCCATAGGGAGTACAGCCGGCCCTGCCTCCTCCTGGTCACCTTAATCTTTGGTGTCTCCTCTGAGTCAGGTATAATCAGTCACACACCACCACATGTTTTGACACCTGTCCTGTGTGCTGTAGAGAAAGTAAGCATATTACTGCTCTCCTTTGGAAACGCACACACAGAGAGACAATCAAACGTATCTTCACATGAATTAAGACAGACAGGTGTATTGTCAGAAAGGGATTAAAAAACAGGGTGAGGGGAAGAAATGAAGGTTCCCTTACATAGTGGGTTTTTTGAAAAGAAGGTTGGATGACTGGGGAAGCGAGTGACTGTTAATGGGAAGAAATGAACGTGCTTGACTGGTGGATGTGACAGGAAGAGACTGTTCTTAACAAGGCGTCAGAGTCAGTCAGAGTTACAGATCCATCACTTCTCAGAGGCTTGGCAAAGGAGGGGGGAGACATTTAAGGATATTCAGAGAGGGAGAGAGTCTGTGAAGGGTAGAGAAGAAGAGGGAGACGGTGAGGGGAAAGAGGGATTTGAGTGTGGCTGACAGCACTGCATTTAATTTGGGCTGCCAGATCCTTTTTCATTTGACTCCTTCTCAACCAGCTTAGAGGCTGCGGAGGACTTGGAGGCGAAGGTTTGCAGGGATGTCTCCGATTATCACTGATGTGCCACGTCACACTTTAAGCCAGCCTGTAATTCATGTTCAACAGGGGGATACTCACACATTACACTGTGCTGTGCAGGACGTGATTAATTGACTCACACTCTAATATTGGGTGTAATTTGCCCATCCTCTGATGTGAAACTGACTTTATACTAGACTTACTGCATGCTGTCATCCTAGGGATGGTATAATTGAGTCTTGGCTCAGAGCTGTGCAATTTCTAAACTAAGGATAGAAGCACAAGCACGCCAGGATTCACTTCAGGTCTTTCTACCCAATTTTGCAAGTTTTCTGTTTAGTATTTAGGGTAGAATTTAATAGAGTAAATCACTGTAGTGGGGTTTAAACAACCACTGTTATTTAAAGCACTTTTTAATGGTGCTTCTCTACCTGTCCACTTTCTACTGAAGTTTTCACATTTCTACTGGTATTTCACATATTTCCATTCAGTTCTATTTTGAACCACCTATTTCCACTTCTGCTGCTGTTTTTTTTATCCAGACTATGCTTTTCCTGGCTGCAGTGGAGGAGGAAGACCAAGCAGAAGAAGGAAGGAGGGAGATGGCAGAGATCCTGCTGTCTGCTTTGACAGACAGACACCAGCAAAGACAGACATGGAGAGACAGGTAACACAATATACCACCAACTTTGTTACTTCCATTGATCTTCAAAAAAACAAACATCTGTTGATATGTAGTCTATCAGTTATGAGTCCCTATTTTAAATGGAAATGCCATCACACTCCAATAATAACGTTTATTAATTTTCTAAACTGATTTGATCAAATATAAGTAATGCATGCATGTTGCTGTGATTTCCTCAAGATTACACAAACCAAGGCAGAAAGCAAAGATAATATCTCATTTCACCTCATTTCACTTGCAAACCCAGAGCTATTATTATAGCTCGTGTAGTGTTGTTGCAGTAGTAAAATGTGTCAATATCTAGTTCTCAGTTAAGAGATTTATTAACTGTGATCACATCATCAAACAAAATAAAAAAACGAGTTGCAAAAGGTGACACATCAGGCCTACATAGCTTCAATGTGCATTGATCATTCATTTTCAGTGAATCGGTGTGAATTCCAGAGATATGCAATGGTGTGGTTGGTGTTGGTTTGAGGTCCTCGGGCCTGGCGGTTATCACAGTTATCACAATGACACATGTGTCTTGGATAGGCCCAATCACTTCCTTCCCTCCAGATAAAGAAGGAGAGCACAGGGGTTAGAACGTCGGTTATCCATTCAGATAAAGAAGGGCCTCACACATGCACCAGTGTTGTTTTAGCTGTTCGTTTTAGCCATTTACTCTCTCCGCCAGCATATACACGGACACATACAAACACTACATATACACATGACCACTACATTCACATTTGCTATACTCTTTATTGTCTCTTTCAATAGTTTTGACCTCAGAGTTACATGCAGACAAGAACCCATATGTGAGAACAGACATTTCACTAAACCTTAGTGAAAGCAAAGCGGCAGGAAGATAATTCAAAGGCTACAAATCCATTTTCTTTTGAAAACTTCATGTTAAATTCCTGTTGTGCTTACGCCCTCATATTTCTAAGGCACTCTATTCTTCTATTCTATGTTTTGCATTGTCCCCTCTAGTTGACCCTTAGATTTGTCCCATCCAGATGAGTCTTGTAAACAGGCTGTTTCCACACACCTTGCTTTGCTGTGTCAACGCCCAGTGCCTCACAACTCTGATGTAGGGCCTGCTCTGATAGTGCATTCCAGCGGCATGTGCTGAAAGCTAGAAACCATCTCGCCACCCCCACCCTCAAGTGAACATCAGAACTGTCCCCTACCATCGCAGTTCTCCCGCACCACCCACAATGTGATGTTACCACCAGCTAACAATGTCTGACCCTACATTTTGCTCAGCCCACCCTAAGATGCTGACAACCAGCATCACTGGCTGGGACAGGAAATGCTCAGCCCTTGCCGGCAGAGCAGACAGACGTTTACTCTATCAGCAGTGAAAGACTGATTAGATTAGTTTTGGTGGAAGGCACATGTCCCACACAATATGTTTGAACTCCAGCTGCTCCTGATACCTCTTCTTCCCCTTACACACATTCTATGTCTATCCCTAAACTACACCACCCTCTCTTACAGAAAAGCCAGGGGTCATGCTGTCAAGTGGCTGTCAACAGATAGCATTTTCACAAAACTAAACACATAGCTATGCGCAATGTTAAGTGGGAAGTACTGGTACTGATAAGCAATTTGATGAGGGTCAGGGATTGTTCGACTTTGTTGAGCATGAAAAAGTTTTAATTTCTTCATGCATACTACTAAGAGGCAAAGTCGTTATTTTGAATTAAAGAAGCACTTTATTACAGAAGACGCAGAGTGAGGGAATTGTAGTGCACTCCAGTCAGATGTATTCAAACCATCATTTATTTTCATAAAAGCATTCACTAAAATAGGACTAAAATTAATTTGCTGATTCATTTTGTTGCTTTTTTATATTTAGCGTTCTAATTAGGTTTCCACACAATATTCAACAGGCAAGCTTTCATCATAACACTGCCTTTTGTTTCCATGGTTTCCATTCAGCATATAATACTTGCAAAAATATAATGGAAAAAGGAACAAAAAAAAAAAGCATGATTGATGACTTTTGCTAGAGGCCCATAAACATAAACAAGCAGCGCTGATTGATTAAGTTTCTCACTGACTTTTGTTTCTAAAACACCAGTTAAAGTAGCATTCTTTGCTGTGGAACTTCGGCCTACCAGCTGCCATTGTCTGCCTGCGAGCCATTTTTAGTACAAGCAAGAAGGAAAGAAAGAGGAATTGGAGCCGGTGACCAGTGGTTCTTCACCATTGACTTATAGGCACTCAGAGTGAGTGATGCCTGCTCTCACCGTGCTAGTGGAAGCAGTCCATTCATTCACTCTGAGCCAACGAAGTTATGAGAGCTTTTTTATTCTTATGAGCTTTTCTGGTAACTGGGTTTTCCTGATGCACATGGTGAATTCTTTGATAGATGCTGCCCTCCATGTCCCTTTGGTAAATGCCCCGTGAGTACCCTGGAAATAGATGGATTATTATATGGGTGGGTGACTGTGCCGCAGCAGAGCAGTTCAGTATGCCACACAGGAAGTGCAGATTGAAGAGCAAGACACAACCTCTAGGGAGCAGCTCCATTAGGATAGAAAATGGCACATCCCAGTGGCACCAGGAAGGTTTTTGGTTTAACAAAGGTAATGAAGGATCCACACTGGAAGTACATACACAGAAAATTCTTCAGCCTACAGTCTTCTGCAGTATATTTAGAGAATTGTTTTGTTTTATCTTGCTGTCAATGCTCATTATGCATTTTTAGACGCTGTCTTCAGTCTGTGTGCTTACAGTGTGGCTACTGTTGAATATCCTGGATGAGGTGACCTCATGCTGACCTTGCAAAACCTAGAGGTCACTGCTCTGGGCATTAGAAAAAATAACAACAACAACAACAAAAAGCTTTGTCACAGCCAGCAAGCAAATACTGAAGGGAACAGCTGCGAGTTTTGTACTGACCATGCAAACTGCTGTAGGCTTTGTAAGGTCATTATATGATAATGAAAATCATTACAGAATTACATGGGGGTTTAGGACATGAGAGCAGTAGGGAGGGGAGGGGAGGGCCACATTGGGTTTGATAAATGGACTGTGAAGGTGCCCATCTGGCCCTCTCTATGGCTTTTTCTTCCTGCTCTTTTATCCATTCTTATCCTTTACTACCCCTCTTTCATTCCCCTTCTATGTTCTCCAGTGGGCCAATGTAAAAGCGAGAAGGCCTGAAGTGAAAGATTAACAGAGTGAAAACCTAACTCACCTCTGTGGAGTAGAAAAGAGGAGGGTAGACAGACGGAGGTGTTTATGATCCAAAGCAGGGTTTGTGCCTGACTTGGCAACCCTGTCTTCCCATCTCTGAGTGTGGGCCAGTAGGAGAGTAGGCAGTCATTGACCTTTGGCACTGGAAACAGTTGGACAGCTCAGGATGTGTGAACAGGGTGTAGTTTGGAGGCACTGGGGTGGTAATACATTACAAGGTTTAAAATAGGCCTCTTTATTTATGCTACAGTTGCTGTTCTCCTCGGATTATTGAATGGAGGACAACAAAGACTGAACAAATTTGTTACTGAATCCTTGGAACTGCTGCAAATTAGCAGCATTTTGGATTCATACCAAATGAGAATAAGCAATGACGGACATACACTATCTTACACTGCAAAGATTGCTGTGATAATGGACTACATAAATAAATGCGTACAACTAGGTTTTCTCTCTTTTAAACAATAGATTTTTTATGTTAAAGTTAGATAATATCTAGTTTCTTGTATGTTTAGTAACATTCTTTATATTTAGTTTCTACCTTAGTTCCAAAATAAACTAATTCACAGTTTAAAAATAATTTTTGACAAGTGTCCTGTTGTAATTGTATTCTAGTGACCTCTTGAAAAGGAGCTTATAACACTGTACAGGTTGGGATGGATGTCATTGTCATAGCTGTACAATCAGAATTTGTGGCGTAATACATCTGTTGTCCGTGTTTACTACTTTTCTCCAGTGTGCTGAAAGTTAGTGAGGTCTTTATCCTAAGACAAAGGAAACATCAGCTGACATGGCAAGCAGAGTTAAAAGGGCAGAGAAGGAGGTCCACGTGTTCACAGCTGCACTCATCACTCAGCTGTCCAGTTTGACCCATGACCCCGTAGGGTTGTCTCCCAGCCTCTATCGGCTTTATGTTTCCTGCCATTGTCATCCACTGTTGTCCTCACCTGGACAGGCCGCTTCTACACAAAAGGTCCAGTCTGTCATCAAACCCACGGGTCACTCAGGGCCAGCAGGGGCTAGAGAGCTGAAGTTGAAGCTGTGCCCAGCCAGGGATGACCCCAACAGTCTTGTCAGCTACCAGTTGCACCCCTGTAGAGATGCATAGTGACAGAGAAAGGAGAGAGACCTTCCTCGGCTGGCACTTCATTCTCAGAGTGGTGACATTTCTTTTGTGTTGTCTCTGACAGACCCCGCCCTGATTCCCGTGCTGGGGCGAGAGAGGGAGCTCGGAGACAATGGAGGTCCCTCTGTACCAGATGGGAGTTGGAAAGATTGTCAGTATCGTGTCCATGATAAAGACAAACAGGTCTACTAAAAGTTTTAGAAGTGGTGGCACCACACTGGGATTGCTCATGACATAGATAACTCACTCAAGTGTTTACAGACACAAGTTCCCATCAATCTATCAAAACTGCCATGTGTCCATGTGTTATTGTTCTAAAAAATTTGTCATTACATGACTTTTTCATTTGACTTCACAGCCACATGTCTATGATGTGCATGATTTTGGAAAACAGAGATTGTAGGGTGCAGTGCAGAAAAGGTGGCATCAGATCTTAAATAAATAGGTTTAATTAGCGGTGCGGTGGTGATGTTTGTACTGGCATTAAACCAGTGGTCTGGTTTGGGGCAGGTCAATCCGGGCATGTTGTCAACTGTGCCTGCGTGATGTAAGTTGCAACTCGAGGTGACAGGTTAATCAGATCTCCCAGACAACAGCCCCACATTTACATCTTCATCACTCTCACAACAGTGGTCCTGTTTTGCAAACAGAACAGACAGGGCTG